AGGTGGAGTTTACGCCTAGAAGGCATTCCTTTAGAATTGAGGTAGAGGCGGTCTGTGGTGCTGTATGAAAAAAAAACATGAGGAGCGGCTCTCGAGAAGTGGGAGCCCCTCCCTCTCCCCTGCCCGTTTATTTCCGCATTGATGCGACTCTCATCGGTGCTGCCCTCTTCAACGCTAACGCTCTCTCTGCTAAACGGCTAGAGACCTGCGGCGAGTGGTTAGCCAGTCGGTGGGCGTGCCGCGTCGATAGCGCCGCGGGGAAGGCCATGCTAGATCGCCGGGCATATCCTTCGCTGCGAATTGCGTGTTGTCCGCACCCTTAGAAGGTTCGCCTGTCTTTCCATTAGGTAGAATTCTCATTCATCGACCTACAACCTTATCGTGGGATTCTCCTTTAAGGCTCGTTAAAGACAAACCTCGGGATTAAACTGGTGCTAAGAGCGCTTCGCAGTGATAGCTTAGCTGCGGAACGACCTGAAAGTGGGGAGAGAGAGGCGTTTGAGAGAGCACGCTGATCTCTACATCAATGCACGCTGATCTCACCACATCTCGCGGTGGGTGGGAAGCGTTTCGATGGTTGCAGGCCCGTAAGGATTAGCGCCCTAACCGCGCAATTTTTGCGACGAAGCTGGAGTGATCTAGGTAGGTACGGACCTTACAATTTCCCTCGCGGTATCCTTCCTACTAGTCGGGCTAATCCCGGGGTTTGCCTTTAAGGCGAGTTCTCTCTATAAAGGTGGAGCAGCGGTGGAAATGAAGGTGGAGCGAGGTTGCTAACTTTTACAATGCAACCATGCGCCCGTGAAAACCCTTCTTACGCTTAACCGTTGGTGGTGAGGGGTTCTGTAGCTCGTAAGGCGCGTTATTTACGGTGTTGTTATATATTTTGTATCAAGGAATGGTAAACCGCTAGTGCTCCTCAAGCGTCAGCCCTACTCTTGTTGGGTAGTCTACAACTATTCAATTCACTTCGTAACTTCCCAGAAGGAAAAAGCAATGGAAACAGTTCAAGGCCTGCAGAGCAAGATCCTTACTTTTCCAGTTAATTCCACCTTCTGGCAAGTCGCCCCGGTGACGACGTCACCAATATGAACGCTCTGCCTGTCCCTGCTAGGCCGATGTCAGACTTTGCGAATCGCGCGATTCGCTAGCGTCTGCGGTCGCGTCGCGGCCAGTGAATCACTCAATTGGCTGGTACCGCAACGCGACCGCGGACGCTAGCGAATCGCGCGAATCGCTAGTCAATCGTCGGAATCTAAATCGATGCCAGTCGCGGTAACGGATCAGTGGTAGAAGCCAGTTGAAGGCCGGGCAGAGTAAGGAAGCGTCGAAAGAGGCGGAGAGGCCTCGCCAGGTCTTTACAGACACAAATGCCGGCGAGAGCGCTACGTATCGCCCTTAGGGCACAGAATCATTCATAGTGAGCACATTCTGCCCTTTTCGTGGAAAGAAACGGCTGATCTTACGGAGGATGGATGGAATCTCGCACTCCCCCCCCCAACAAGTTTTCGGATCGATCTCTTTGCATAAAGCTTGTATTTGCCGACAAAAACATCTCAGTTAGCAACCTATTCCTTCAATTTATTTCCACTTTGGGATCTGCTCCATTGTGTTCACAGCGGTGTGAAAATCAAACGCGTAGAACATGCACAACGCACTGATCAAAGAGCACGTCTTTTTGACACTGACTGTAATGTCTGAGAGAAATTACGCGATTGCTTAGGTATGGTTCATCAACATACAAAAATGAAAGCAGATGCGATAATTGCTCGACTAGTAATGGGAAGTGCAAAGAGCCCCAAAAGCTCATTGTACACTGATCCTAAGGGCGGTTGCTGCCTTTTTTATTGGTCGATCCCCTATGATTGCCTTATGTTATCGTATTAAGTGTATGGGCCAACCAACAAGAGGACCGCCATCTCCGCTTCTGCGCATTCAACGTGCAATGTGCTTTTGGTAGTTTCACTTTGCTCTCCTCATCATTGGTCTCCAGATACCGTATCTCCATTTTCATTTTTGAGTGCAATTGCACACTTAGGCAATCGCAAAGTGTGCTACCAACATTTGAAGCAGTGAAAAAACTCTCCTAACCTTATTTCCCTGCAATTTTGCATCGATGTGTGCAATCATGTAATTGATATTGTGAACGATTTTCTCCTCCATTTGTGTCCGACCAAGACCGAAGTTCCTTAAGCAGCAAACTACGCCCACTCTTTTACACCGACATTTCCATCATGAAGTCCTTACCTGAATATTTTGTGAGCAAACTCGCGAATTTGCTCCCATCGTTCACCTTCGCAAAGAATGATGCCATCACCGTGTTCATGGTTTTTTGTGAACATCGACCATATATATCCGGATGGGCGACCCGCGAAGACAGGTCCTAATGCAATTCCAGCTTCTACATTGTAAGGCGTGGATTAATTCGAGCGCTAACACAAATCGCTCACCCTGACGTATGAGAGCCTCTTTAAGCACTTCGTGGCTTGCCATGACTATCATTGGATGTGGTAGCCAGACCGTGTAGATCGGTCCATAAACGGCATGCCATGAACTGAACGTTTTAGCCGGGTTCCTCATATCGATCTGAACTCATTCAAGTTTATGAACCCGCTACGTCGTTAAATTTGTGCATCTGATAAAAATATGGTTACTTTCGAAAGTGGATGGTGCGATGAATTGCTTGCAGTTGGAAATGAATGATTGAAGGTGCAGCAGCGAAGGAAAAAAAGCAAAATTGCCTAAAACCCACAAAATGGGAACTTTTTTACCCGAAGGTCTCCATGCATGCTCGACGAGAGTATACCATAACAGCAACTCCTTGCCACGAACCAATCATAGGCCGAGTTTGCCACCAGGGGCGGGGCCCTCCACGAAAGTGGCGGTTACCGCAAGTGAGGCCAATCACGATGTTCGAAGGTGCATACTATCATTGCTTTGATGTAGCTATTGCACTCGAAAATAAAATAAATCGCAGAGGGAGCCGTCAGTGAAGAAAAAAGGAAAGAGCTTTCGGAATTCTAATCACGGTATCTTTTCGGATGGTGGGCACAGAGGAACACCGAGAAGAGAGAGCGGACATGGAGCTAAAGAGCGCTGGATAAGCGGGAAGCAGGTACCAACGCTCCGCTGCAGTAGCCGAACATCGATGCGTTGGGTGGGCATGGATGTAAGTCATAAGCTATGTCCTTTTTCCGTGTTCCCTAGTTGCAGAAGTGGCACTACCACTGCTGCGTCCGATTCAGCTATCTCATTCACAGAAGGGAGTGCTCGAACGAATCGCGGATGTACCTTCGGCCATTATCCGTGCACCAAGCGCATGGGTTAGCTGATTGAGTCGCGGTAACGCCCTATGTTGAAGTTATACTTTTAGTTGACATTCCTAGCTAGAATTTCAGTTAGAAAACCGGTGTGGCTAGAGAACCTGTACTGTCCCCCAGGCGAATCACTCTTTCAGCTCAAACTCGTTTAATTGAGAACATACGTGTATCAGGGGGAACGATGAGGAGGGAGAGGGTATCTAATCTGTCCTTGAATTTCCGCAACTCAATGGACAGCTCAACAATGCTACAATCTTTTTTGGCTTCGAGTGATAAGAAAACGAATGCCTTTTTCGATGTTGATGGTCCACATTTGATTCCTTATCACGGGTTTCTTTTTGATCCATAGACCAGTTTTACTTAGATGGTTTCATAGACACGACTACTTGTAACTGTTTTAGAGTTTTAACCGCCTGATGTTCAATCCATCATGATGACTGTGAACGGTTTCCACGAGAGCGGAACCGTTTTTACACAGTCAGCCTTGCATAGCTTTTTCAACTGGGAGCAATTTGTTTGTATCATCTACTTCACGGGTGAGTTGGCGCCGCTGCTGCTGAATTTCCGATCCGAGCAAAAAAGCTTTGAAGCGATGTCGGCGGCGAAAACGTTACAATCACGCTAGACTCATTTCTGTCTGGCTATTAAATTGATATATTCAACAAAAGAGAATTGAAAGTAATTGATAATAATCGCTCCAATGTATTCATTAGTTATTGAGTGGAAAAGTGGGCGCCTTTTCGAATGTCCCGACTTGAATGAAAATCAAGTCGGTACATTGACAGTGAGCCGGCCACATCACTTTCGAGCACAATCCAAATGTTTCTAATGGTAAGAATTTTTTGGAAAATATGCAAGATTAGAAAGTAGTGTTGTTATCTTCCAGAATTGAAAAAACAGGTGAGAACAGAATTAACTGTGCGTCAGGCCGTAACTGGTTTAGTTATACACTGGTGTGCAAACTTAGGGACGAACGTAGCTTTTCCAACGACGTGTTACTGGCGCGTAACATGACTCTATGGAACCTAACCACACATACAAAGAGCTGCCACAGGGCACTAAAGAAAGCAGTTAACAGGAACCGTTAAACGGTCCACAAAGCTATCAAAAGGTTATGATACTTCATCTGTCTCGTCCTTAAGTTTTGCACACCAGTGTATGTAGGAATTTTGCAGCCGTATTCCTTCCTTTCTTCATTATTTTGTGTGTTGATGGTGGTGGTATTTGAGGTTTTCAGAAAAGTTGTGGCAGTTGAATGGTAAGCGGTCATGCTGTAATCGGCGGGGTGGATAGGTATTTCTTTTGACGTTGTTGTTGACATTTTTGACGGAATTTTAGCGAAAAATGCGTGAAGTAGGTGAAATTTGAGCAATTGATGGTGGTAGGTGGGCAGTGTGGAGAGACAGAGACACTGAAGGAACATGTGAGAGGGCATAGCGACTAGCAGGACGCAGACACCCGGCTGGGTAGATGGTTTCGCTGAGAATGACAACTGCAGCCAAATTCAACTTAAAGGCAAACTCCGGGATTGAACTGGTGCTATCAGCGCTTCTGTAGTGATAGCTTAGCTGCGGAACGACCTGAAAGTGGGAAGGAAAGCAAGAGAAATCTTTGGGAACGCTGAAATTAAGGCCTTAACCTTCAACAGGGTCGGATGTGGTACGATGGCGAGACAGGGCGGTCAAAGAAGACAAAATACGCGAGAGAGCACGTCGTTTGAGAGAGCACGCTGATCTCTACATCAATGCACGCTGATCTCACCACTCTCGCGGTGGGTGGGAAGCGTTGGAAGGGGGTCGATGGTTGCAGGCCCGTAAGGATTAGCGCCCTAACCGCGCAATTTTTGCGACGAAGCTGGAGTGATCTAGGTAGGTACGGACCTTACAATTTCCCTCGTGGTATCCCTCCTACTAGTCGGGCTAATCCCGGGGTTTGCCTTTAAGTGACAAATACCTAACTTACTTGTCACTTTAGAGCCACGAATAGCACGTTTCCTAATTTTCGCAGAAGCTTCATCGCAGAAACCTAACCCCTTTCTTGTAGAATAAGCATTTAGAAGTTAACTTTGAAGGACTTCCCTTGAACTGTGGGACAATTAAGCAAAAACGGTCAGGTTTAACAGCACCATTGCATGCTACTAGCTGCTAATCTTTTCGCTTTACCTATAAATGTCTCGATTTTCATGTGAACATACCGACAGGGTGTTTCCAATCAGTGGAAGAGGTACTGGTCCAGGTGGGAGATTTCGCCTTCGCCAATAGAACTGATGGAAAGCTAAGACCGCTACTGGGAGAATCATGAACGTACTTGCGGTGAAGAATCTGTAACATTCGCAATGAAGCAAACTAATCGAACAAAATGAAAACAGGTTTTTAATTGCCAAAGGGATCACCTGAGCATCAGAGCAGAAGACAACGCGAAGAGTCCGCAAAGCCATGCAATATCTTTGAGCTCCTTTTCTTCAGGTGGTGTGTCCTTTTCTGATGAATTCATTGTGCAGCGATTTGGTAGAATCTGAAGGAGAAAAGAATGTTTTCTGGAGTACTGATGTTTTCTGCACAACGATTACGGCGGTATTTTGGAGAAGTTTAAGGCACTAAGAAGCAGAGCGGTTCTGAAAAATTCCGCGCTTGAAGAAGACCCGCCCTTCTCATGCATTCAAAAGAGTCTCTAAGCAAAATCACTTGGAATTGTGTCAGAAAAGAACCAGTTCTCTCTATGCTTTGCAATAACAATAGCCTATGAGAAAAGTACGCTATTCTGCTTGAGACCGCCCTTTTATTCCCGGAACAGAGTCCGCCGTGATCCGTGGCAGAACAGGACCGATACACACACGTGGTGCGAACGAAGAACACTTCTGATCGTCGAGCGGTCAGTAACGACGAGATTCGATGTGACATTTGAATAAAGGGAACTATTCTCCTCATTTAGAAGGTGTTCAACTCGAGCTCTTGAACCATAAGGAAGTATACGACTACGTAAAAGCCGTTGAGAAGTGGATTGTCTCGTCTAAGCACAATATCGTAAAGGAAGATTTTACGATAAGGACGAAGGTCAAACAGGAGGAAACTTAGGCTGGTGTCAGAGTCCGCGATCCGTCGCAGGTTTCGCTGATTTTCGCGATTTGCGCGATTCACGCGATTTTCGCGATTTGCGCGATTCACGCGATTCGCGACGGATCGCGGACTGTGACACCAGCCTTGGAGACAGGCGGGCCTCCTAAGCGTGCGGACAGTCACGAAATTCGCATCAAAAGAATTTACCTCCGGCGGTCCAGCATGGACTTCTCCGCGCGCTATCGGCATGGCGCGCCACCTCTCACTGTCTCAATCAGTCCAATCGCTTAGCAGAAAGGCGTTAGTGTTGAAGAGGGCGGCATCGATGAGAGTCGCATCAATGCGCAAATCAACGGGCAAGGAAGGGGTCCCATTTCTCGGGTTCTGGGCCGTTTCTCATGGTTCTTCCTTCTTTCGTGTATCACTCACCATCCTAACTTAATTTCTAATGGGACTGCCTTTTCGTCGTCAAATCCTCCTTAAGGTGAGCTTAACCCTTAGCTGCAAGTATTAGCATTCGGGACCGGCCTTAAGGTCCTATACTACACACAGGCTCCACCCATCACCGTGACTCCTCATGGTGTTTGCGTATCGCTGGTCTCCATGCTATTTCGTCCCGTCGTCTACATTCTTGAACCAGCACTAGGGCCTCTCTGCCATGGGCATTTTTCAATGCTTGAAATGTACTGCTCATGAGGCTGTGGTTTCCAGTGATTTCCCCCTTTATTCAGTAGCAAGCGAGCAAGGGCGGAAGTGGTGTAGTGGCAAGTGGCACGCTTACCACGCGAGCGGTCCGGGGATCAAATCCTGGGTCGTGAGTCGCCCGGGCCAACCAAGCCTTCCATCCCTCCGGGGTCGGTTAATTGGTACCAGACTTGTCTGGGAGGATAAAAACACTGACTTGTACATCGGCTGGCCCCCGCAAGTCATTGTATAGGCCACATCGCATTCAAACGCCACTACGAATGTACAAATGGAAGTAGAATGCGTGCCGCATCCCAAAAAGGGATTGATCAACGGCAAATGCTTTATCCTTTATCCTTTCAAGCGAGCAACTGCAGTTTTTGTGAACCCCATTACCCACATTTTAAGTTGTGACTGTACCTTTGCGAGTAATATTGTATTTTCTAACTTGAATGGGCTATAAAAAAGGGAATGCAAACTGGTCATGAACGGTCTTCTGCTGTTTGCGCCAAAATTGCCGATTACGAACTAACAACTTGGTTGCTGAACATCGCTTTTTTCATAATTTTTACATGACTGCATACATGTGGAACTACTCCTCTTCGTCCCACCTTTTGTTCTTCGATAAACATTGTGCTTTCCATGTTTGTTCCAGTCCACAGAACTGATTCTAGAGGTAAGAGATTTGAGCATTCTATGTTCTGGTTTAGAGCAGGTTGAAAGATGAATATTCAAGAATAGATGGATATTGCAGTACAGGCATGAAGGATGGAGGACCAGACCCTGAAGAGTCTCTTTCTGCGTCACGCGTCCCATCCTTTGGACTCCTGAATGTGGACATGATAAGCGACCCTCTTTGCTAATACGTCACCTCCCCCGGATCGCAGCACAATCCCACGAGGGAGGCGGTCATGTGGCGCGGCTACATTGCCATTGGGGCACATGGGCTATAGTTGCCACCAGAGTCAACCCTGCGTTGCGCACTTCGCAACGGCACGTCGAGAGATCCTCAACGCACGCTGTATGGGCGGATAACACAGACGCCATCGAGCATGGTGAAATACTTCTATCAAGTGAGATGCTGAAGTTGATGTTTTCTAAACTATTGATTTTTCCCTCGGACTTGCCTTCTGTATCAATCACAGTATTTGCAACTTTATTCGAAAACCCGGTATTTCCCAAACTCAGCGCTCTTTGATTTTTTAGTGAGTTACTATGTCCTTTTCGACTGACATTTCTGAGTAATTATAGCTCAAAGGACTACGAAATGCGATGTTTCATGTCCAATGTGCCTATGGGAGCCACAGAAACATAGAGATTGGTATGAGACATGCCGTTGGCGAAGCAGAGGTGAATCACTGGTTTGGAAATCAGGAATTCCAGTAACCTATACGAGCCCTCAGTGGAGTGGGATCGCAAGCGGTGAGAAAACATCGGAAAGCAACATTCATTAGTGAGTGATAATACGCAATTACTGGTTAGGAGAGTGCAATCAGACCAGGAAAACCATCTGTTGTAGCCTCGAACACTAAAAAAATAAAATGATGCTTCGTATCTTTTCGGGCATAATAAAGGGAAAGGTTTTCCAACGAGAAGTCTTTTCTGGAATTGATGAGCGAAAGAATTCTCGATTGGTGTAGTGTGAATTTCTGCTGGTCATAATAACATGCCGAACGTTTTCGCTTTCTTTCGTGCAAAATTAAACATGTTACAGCATCTTTATTCTGAAAACCATAGAAAATGGAACAGCAAGATGCTTGATTCCTTTTTGGAACACGGTGACTGATCCTCACGCATTCATCAAATAGCAGAAAAAATTTCAAAAAATCAAAAAAATTCCATGCTCACTTTACTGTTTTCAGAACCCATACTATCCAGAAAAACTACTGGTAGTAAAGCCTTGAGAAATTTAAATACACTGTTTTCAACAAAAAGGCTGACAACTTACCTCGTATAAGAATTGTTATCATGCACTGCAAGTTGCTGTGAAGTGCAATGTATCACAACTCCAGAATGATCGTGACACTATACTTCGAAGTAACTTTACAGTTATTCCAACTGTTGAAGTGTGCAGAGCGAAATCAGCTCAAAAAGGAAGCAGGCAAGGTCAAAAAAGGGCGGATTGCAGTCCAGTCTACTTTGGCGTGCTCCATTGTAGACTGGTCAGCCACGATAATCTAGTAGTTCGGTGATCAGGACGAGTTATCTGGCCAGGATATGGGTGGTGCCTGGGTGGCAACTATAGCTCATGCGCCCCAATGGCAATGTGACCGCGCATGAATACACCCCCACCCCCCCCCCCCAATTTTGGCTCGGTGATTTGAGCGTTAGGTGTGCCTCATTCGTGCTGATCCCAATAATTCAAACGCTCTCTCAGCTGGAGCAGCTCGAGTCGGACATCGAGGGCTGGGCAGGCAGCGGCGAGCGGCTATGGTCCTGTGGCCGCTGAGGGCATACCTTTCTTTGCTGCGAAACCCGCATCGCGCCAATCCCCTAGGGCGTCACGTACCTCCTCTTTTTCGACTTACTACCTTATCGTGGAATCTTCCATAAGCACGTTCTTCTTGAACTTAATTCTACTACAGTATGTGCAGAATAAGGTTATCACGGAGACTGTGTTGAATGGTCGTGATAGGGGGCTGACGTGCTTATGGAAGATTCCACGATAAGGCAGTAAGTCGAAAAAGAGGAAGTACGTGACGCCCTAGGGGATTGGCGCGATGCGGGTTTCGCAGCAAAGGGTATGCCCTCAGCGCCACAGGACCATAGCCGCTCGCCGCTGCCTGCCAGCCCCTCGCCGTCCGACTCTAGCCGCTCCAGCTGAGAGAGCGTTTGATTATTGGGATCAGCACGAATGAGGCACACCTAACGCTCAAATCACCGAGCAAAAAGGGGTTCCCTTCACGGGCTCTAAGCCGCTGTCTTGATTTTTAGTGGACTGTGTTTTCATCGTAGGCTGTGATGAAAACATCTTCGGCGTTTTTACAGTGGAAAACTTAAATGCGAAAATAATTTCAAACCTAACATAGCTTTGCTTCAACCAACAAGCCAAACTATATTTCCTTATACTTCTTTGTATTTTTTTCAAGTGCAGGTGTCTTGTTTTCGTGCTGACTCACACAATCATAAAGAGCGTTCAGGAGAAATGCGTGGTTTTGGTTTTTTTTTCCTGACAAGTTCATCTGGAGCACACACACATTCAAAAAGATACAACAAAAGCATTTACCATGGATTTTCTATTAGGTTGCCTCCACAATTTTTGAACCCGTGGGTGTTTTTCGATTTATACTTATTCTATGCTCTGATCAATTAGTCGGCAGAGTATGGATCTTATTACAACATTCCTCAATGGGAGGGGGGGGGGGGGTATTCAGTCGCCTCTATTGTGATTTCATCTTAGCTTGACTAAGAAGAAAATTGTAGCCCGATCATTAACCCCCCAATGTGACATCATCAAGTTCCTGTTGGTTTCCCATAGTTCCTTCGGATGACCATCTATAATACTCCATTGGTGATGTGGACTGGGTGCAGTGTGCTAACAAATCCACGAGCCGCAGTA